TTGGAGAGGAAATTAGGGATGGGATAAGTAAGTTTCCAGAGGATTGGGAAAAGCTGGAAAGCATATGGCATTGACATTTGCATCCTTTAATTTTAGGGCAGGTGGGTGCAGAGCCTGGCAGTGCCCTGCCCCAGAGTGGCACCTGGTTTGGGGGGGTTTGGGGTGGGATGTGGTTCTCTCTGTCCTGGCACATCCCCCGGCGTTTTCCCTGCTGTGCCAAGAAAAGGGATTTCAGCCCAGGGCTGTAACAGCCCCACAGGCACTGCCCAAACCCTAACAAGAGCCCCGAATGATTTGGGGATTTTATGCAGCTTGTTATCTTAGGTGTAGGTTTTTTTATTTTATTTTATTTTTTATTTGAAATCCCAGCACGAAATAATCCTCTTTTTCTGGTCGGAATAGAAATGGCTTGATGCCACGAGGCAAAAAAAAAATAAAAGGCAGCTCTACCCAGTAGCTGTGCTGATTTGCAAGGCTAGTGAGAGACTACAGAAGGCGTTTTCAAATAGACTCCGATATTTTCAGTGCTTGAAGAGGGCCCGACTACATGACACCTTTTTTGAAGCCCTGATTTACAATGGCCCCAGGCTGAGTGCATTATAATTTGCTGCCAGAAGTTCCAAAGTCGCAGTACTTTCAATAATGAGGAGAGAAACCCTAATACGAGAAGACTTTTTCCCTTTTTCCTTTTTTTTTCTTTTTTTTTTTCTTTTTTGGCATTGTGTTTAATGAAAAGCTAAAAATGTGCTAATTTGTGAGTCCTGTTGTGGTAGTGGCATCGGAGGCTTTTGAAATGCGTTACTGACTTGGGGAGTATTAAGGAAAAATGACATTTTGCTACTAGCAGAAAAGTCAATTATAATGTTTCCACACTTTAGAAAATTGCTGATGCAGGATGGGAGTTAATAGAACAGTCAGCTTCACTTTGTGTTACCGGATTTGGGGGGTTTTGCTGGGAAACGTCGGCTTGTGTTTTAATTCTCATGGCAACTTCAATAACGGACTGCCACAGGTGCTGTGCGCTTGGGACTCGTCTCAGGGAGGGTGTGGTGTATTCCATGGGGTTGTTCCCACCTGGAGCTGGTCCCTGTGCCTGCCTGGCGTGCTGCAGACTGCACAGGAGCAGGGAAAATGAGCGTCGATAAAGATTTAGCGTTTTGCAGTCACTTTGATCCCTCCCTGGTGGTGCAGGAGCACTGAGCCTGCTGCACTCTGCAGAAGAGCTCTGCTCACTTAGTTAAAAACATTTAAAGCCTGGAACAGGAGGAAAGAGCTGTCCTTCCCCACTGTGCTCTCGATGGAGTTTCCCCCTCCCTCTCCTGGAGAAGAAAACAGCAGAAAACTTTATGTGAGCTCTTGGGGAAAGGAGGGTGGGAGCTCTGGGGGCCTCACAGTGGTTGCCAGAGAGTTTTCATGCTGCTGGGAAAAACGCCAGTGCTGGAGCAGTCGGTTTTCAGGCAGGCAGGGGCAATCCCAATAGTCCCACTTTCTGGATTGGTACAGGTGAAGAGGCAGGACAGCTCACACTCATCGATTTCCCACCCCATGCCACGGGCAGGGACACCTTCCACTATCCCAGGGTGCTCCAAGCCCCATCCAGCCCGGCCTGCAACACTTCCAGGGATCCAGGGGCAGCCGCAGCTTCTCTGGGAACTCCAGGGCCTCCCCACCCTCACAGGAAATAATTCCTTCCCAGTATCCCATCTATCCCTATCCTCTGGCTGTGGGAAGCTGTTCCCTGTGTCCTGTTCCCAAGTGTGGCCTTGGGGGCTGTATTTAAAACACGTTAAAACCCACAGGGCAGGGAAATGCCAAGGGTTTATTTCTTCTGCTTCCCCTTCCAGGTGTTCCAGAGAGGGGTTCCTGCTTGGTGTGGTTTAAACTGGAGGATGGGGGAGTGAGAATGAAGACTTTTACAAAAGTCATGTCATATGTGGTTCTCATGGGTTTGCAGGAAGCAATTAAGCCAATTAATTTATTGGTAAATTATCTGATGATGAAGTACAAAATAACTGCAATGAAACGCTGACATTCACATTAATACCAAATTAGTTACTGTATTATGACTATTCTTACAATGAATGCCCAGTAATTTAATAGTAATGGGACATTTAAATAATTTAGCTGATAATTCTCTAGATCACTTATATATATAAATGAGCATGACAGCTTCTTCTCTCAACTTTGCTGCTGCTGCTGCTGGATTGCCTGCCACCTCCAGAGCAGGAGGCAGAGCTGTGGCCCCTGTCTTTGCTGTCCCTCAAAGCTCACCTTTGGCTGGCTGGAGGAGGCAGGATTTTCCTCCTCCATCAGACTGTGGGAATGCCGTGGCTGGAAAGCAGAGTGCAGCTGTGCTGGGCTTAACAAAGCCACAACCTTCTTTCCTCTTTCCATGGAAGATGTCTGGGTGGAGGTGTTGGAGGAGCATTTCTAGAGGTGTTCCTGTGAGAGCCTCCCAGCAGGAAGGATCTTGGAGATCCAGGCAGGGCCACTTCCTTTAATAGTTCAGCCACTGACACTGAAATTACTCTGTGTGTTGTCTCTGCTTGATGCAGCTGCTTCATTCCTTTTTCAAACAGCTGCACTCTCTTTAATAATAATAATTATAAACAGCATTAAAATTGCTCCTCATTCTGTCCCCACAAGAAGCTGAGGAGAGCAAGGGCTCGGCAGCCCCACAGGGCAGAGGTTTTCTCTTTTATGGGGTGGTTTGGGTTGAAGGGACCCTAAATCTCACCAGTTCCACCTTGTGCCATGGGCAGGGACACCTTCCAGTGTCCCACATTGCTCCCAGCCCTGTCCAACCTGGCCTGGGATGCTCCACCACCTCTTTGTCACCTCCTGCACCCACTGAGATGTTTGTAGCTAAACTAGCTGTGGCTTCTAGAGCCTCACAGAAAGAAATAAATGCAAGCAGCCCCCAGTGCAAGCTACACCTAAAGGATAATTTCCCTGGTGTTTTTTTCCCCTGTGAACTGGTGAATACTGGGGAAAACCTGCAGGTTTGTGGAAGTTCAGCATCCCCCCTGCACGGGGTCGGCGCTGTGCCCTGGAGATGGATGTTGCCAGTCAGCTGCTCTTACTTTGCTATTGAGATTGCAGTGAAGCTGCTGAAATATGAGTTAATGGGCTTGCTTACATCCTCCCGAAATGTGGTCCTTTCATCACATCACGCCGTGCTGTCAAACCTGGTGTGGAGAGGAGGGTTCCGCTGTCAGCAAGATTGAGGGCAGAATTATCCAAATTAGTTTCCTTGTGGATGAGAGCAGAGATGAGGGGTTTTTAGACACAAACCCTGTCACCTCTTTGGAGAGCCTGGCTTTTCTCCCCTAGGATGAAGTTAGAAGTACCTTATTTGATAAAACTGGGGTGTGCTGTTGAGTTTGGGGAGCAGCCTGCTCCAGAGAAAAAGGGATGGAAAGGTAACATTTGTAGCAATGGATTGAACCCAGGGGTTCAGGGCAGCTCATGGGGTCTCTTGTGTGGGTCATGTGGAGATTCCAGCAGCTGGATTACTGCTGGGGGAAGGGCTGGTGTCCATCAGGAATGTCCTGAGGGGTTGCACAGGGGAGATGTAACAAGAATTTCCTCTCTTACTGCTTGGATCTCTTTGTCAGGGCTGGAGGTGCAGGCATGAGGTTGGAAGGGTGAAATTACGGGGAGCCCTGTACCAGGCAGTAAAACATAGCTAGAAAGGACCACAAAAATCCCAGACTGGCCTAGCCTATGTGCTGGGATATCCTACAGGGAGAAAATTCCCTTTATTAACCAGACCCATCCCATTCCTTCCACTGTGCACAGTGCTACAATTGCTTGAATAATTTTCTGTGCAGTTAGTTACACCCAGGAATCTTCCCAGGCCTTTTTTCTCAGGCATTCCTGTTCCCAGGAGTGCCTTTTCCCATTTGATTTCTTTTTAGGAGCAGGAGTGGCACAATACCATCCCGTTCCCAGCAGCTTCTTCCAGCAGTGCTGCCCAGCTTGTACCTCTCAGGCTGTTGATACAGGCACAGAGAGGTTCCTCAGCTCCCTGGGGATGGTGGGCCATGTATTTCCAGTTACCTGTTGTCAAGTCCACACAGGAATTCTGTGATCAGAGGGGAAAACAGGTGTTTGTGGCTCTTATTTATACAAGACCTTGGTCAATATGATCCTGTTCCTGACATGAAGGTGGTGCTGGCTCCGTCAGTGTAGGATGGCCCAAAGCTTTACAGTGTTCTAAGCACTCCTTATAAATCCTTTGCCCTCAAAATTGCTGATTTGTAAATAAACAAGCTGCATTAAGCAACAAACACATTGCTGTTTGTGCAAACAAGCTAATTAGGCATTCTTTTCTACAGCAAAATAGATTAAAGAGATTTTGGTGGACATCCACTCGAATTAGCACGTAGCTGCTTTGCTTTTTTCTGCTGACACCCACATGTATGAATTTGTCCATGCTAAGGCCTCAAAAGGTGCAATTTCTCCTGCAGCTGTGTAAATATTCAACTTGTGGTGGATTGCACAAAGTGCCTCCTAATCCATCCCAATTAAAAAGCAGTCTTTATAGCTGTAATAGTTTTATTGAGGACTGTAATGCTTTAGACCCACAGATACATAAAGCAGTTAGTTTTATAAAGCATATAGGATATTAAAGTAATGAAAGACATTAAACTGACATCAATTTTTAAGGAGAGTTACTTGCCGAAATAAATGAGTATAGCCTAAAAGTTGATGGCATGTTACAGGCCTGAGTAATGAACCCTTCTGCCCCCTAAAATGTCTTAGAATAAATAATGCTTGAGCAAGTCAGTGGTCATTAACTCTTCATCCTCTGAGAGCTACATGTTACATCTTACCTAATTTTTTTTTTTTTTTTTTTTTTAACTCTTAAAAATTAATTTGGAGAGGAATTCTCTTCCCTGGAATATCTATAACTTGAGGAGCATTAATCTGCCATGCCTTCCCAGTGAAGCAAAGTTGTGAACTGGGTAGGGCCAGGTGAAAAATCCTCAAGGAAGTTACTTTTTCCCTTTTCCTTTCTTTCCTTTTTCTTTTTCTTCTTCCTTTGCTTCCTGTGCTGCGCTCCATGCTTTCCCAATCGGTGTCTTGGCATACCAGGCCTGGAGAATTGAAAAAGCATTTGTATGTTTTAATAAATTTTTAAAAAACAAACAAAAAAACCCAAGGCAAGACAGACCACTTAAGCCTTTTACTACTATTACAGAGCATTCTTTAAAAAAACCAAAACTCTTTAAATCCAGGCTGGCTGCTGGACAAGCCAAAATGAAACCCTCAGATCTCTTGAGAACATTTTTATACCAAGAAGTGCAGCAATTGATCGAGCTGAGTCTCGTTAACAGCAATACTTAGCTGGGCCATTTGTGTTGCTATAGTTATGGAAATGTTAAATTCCATGATCAACCCTATTTCCAGAGAATATAGCTCTTGTCAGAGCTCCCTGTGCTCCAGACTTGGCAACAGACAAATCATCCCCTTCTCGTGCCTCTGCAAATCGATGCAGACAGCTTTGATTTCGATGAGGGAGCTTAGGAAGCAAAACAAACCCCGAACATTAAGAACCTGTTTATTGCTTTCAGATGCCTGTTCACAGGCCTGTGACTTGTGAATGATTCTGGTGGAGTTGCTCTGCAGACTTGCCCAGCTCCTGGGCTGTGTGAGAATAATGTGAAGTGAAGGAGAAGGGAAGGCTTTAGAGTCAGCACTGGGTAGGAATTACTCCTTCCCTGTATGTACAAGAACCTTTCTCAACAAAGTCCTGCCTAAACCAGAGATTCAAATTCTGCCAGGCATTGATCATGACTGATAAAATGCCTCCCTTTTTCACCATGGGCTGCTATTCAATGCCACATCTCTGCCTCCTCTGACTATGTCATCTCCAGCCTCCCTCTCAACATGGGATCCTGCATAGTTGGCCTTTTCCATCTGATCCATCCCAAATCCTGCTTCCACCTTCAGCCTCTTAAGGCATCCCTGGAGAATTTGCCTTGTCCGGTTGCCCAGTGTGTGTGACAGGAAGAGAAGCTGGGAGAAGAGGTATTGGAAGGGTATAGGGAAGGAAAACTCAGCATCTCCTCTCCTGACCCTGAATGGTCCCGCTTGGTGTCATCTTCTCAAGAGCTTCTTTTGGGCCTCAGGAAGGGCTGATGATGACAGGCACCCTGCAGATAAACACTGTCAGCAGGTGGCTGACAGGGATCAAATGTCCAGCTGCCTGCTGGACACTGCAGTTCTGCTTTAATCATCTGAATTAGCAGAGCACCTCCCCACCAAAAACCCTGTTCTCACTGATAAAAACATCCTCCAGCCTCCTGTGTGCCCACATCTAGGCAGGGCGTGGGTGGTGGTGGGCAGGAACCCTGTGGCTCTCAGTGAAGTTGAATTTTGCTGCCTTAGTCCCAGGCCAAACTGTTCCTGGTTTGGGGAGAACAACAGAGCTGGGATGTGTTGCTGCTTCTGGCCCTTCCCATGAGTGGGATGTGAGGGATGAGGGTGATTGTGAGTTTGAGCTCCAGCAGGAATTGCCCTTCCCTGGCCAGGAGAACCCAGTGATGTCTCTGGCCCTGGATGAGACCCCACCAGGCCACAGGCATTTTATTTTCCCCTCAGTTTTGTGTCCTGGCTGTAACACCCTCTAGACCTTAAATGGGAGGTGGGGAGAGTAGGAAAACCTTGCCAAGAGCTTTTTGTGAGCTTGGTGGGGTGGAAAGAGCTCTTTGGTGGGGTGAGCATCTCCCTGCCAGCTCTGGGTCTGGCAAAGGACTCAGAGGCATTTGGCAGGAGAAGCCAAGAGACTTGGGATGTCTCTTTCTGTTCTCTTCCCAGTCCTTTGTGCAAATATTTCAGTGCACAACAGTAACTTTTTGTCTCTTTAACTGGTGTAACTGTTCCATAGATGAGTGAAGTCAGCTCCTCAGACACAGCTAAAATAAAATCCATAATAAATAATTAGACAATAAAATTTTATCACCAGCATCTGAACTGGGGATGGAAGTTACTGGCAGCAGTGACTCATCAGAGTTAAAATATTTGGTTTTTGGAGGAATGATGTCCACAGGCTTTGGACATTTGGTGTTTCTGTGGCTGCCACATCCCTGGAAATGCTCAAGGCCAGGCTGGATGGGGTTTGGAGCAACCTGGTCTAGTGGAAGGTGTCCCTGCCCATGGAATGGAGTGGAACAAGGTAAGATTTAAGGTCTCTTCCAATACAAACCATTCCAGGATTTTTGTCCAGTCACTACCAGGCAGAACTGGTGGGGTTAGCTGGCTTTGCCTCTCCAGAAATCATTTCTGTATAAGGATTTGTAACAACCACCCTGGTGCACTAATTTATAATTTCAAAAAATGTGGACATGTAATTGGGGCAGAAATTTGAGTAAATGGAAGGGAGAAATCACATTGTCACAAATTCTGCATTATTTATAATCATTTTGGAACACTGGCAGAATATAAATGTCAGACTGGGAGATTCATGCTTTCAGGGAAGAAAAATCAAAGATTCATCACAGGGCTAATCTTCACTTTGATCACAGTGTTTTAGCTGCCCCACTTCCACAAGGGACAAAGCAAAGCAAGGGAAAAGGTCCAGAAATGGCAGTGATTGGAAGCTTGGGAAGAGGGGCTTCTGTGTGAGGAGAGATGGGGATTACTGGAGTTAATTAATGCACAAGGCTATTTTGACAATCCTCTTCCCCTGTGCCATATCACAGGTGCTGCAGCAAGGCTCCATGACATTTAAGGGAAACAAAATTCCAACAGATAAAAGGAAATACTTTTGTAAGGGCTGTAATTAATGCAAGGAGATGATTGCCATGGGATGCTGAGGACAGGATCATTTGAGCTGTGTTCCAGATGAAGTGCTGCCTGGGCACTTTGTGCTGCACAAAACAGGCACGTTTTATAGTGACTGGGATAATATTTTCAGGTTAAACTCCCACTAAATACTTCCTCTCGTGTTTCAGGGTACAAATGGATTACTACTTGGAGCTGGGAAAGATGGAGTATTTCTTTTCCCCTTTGCTGTAAGACTGAACCATTAGCCTTTCCCTGAGGAGAGATATTGGTTTAGTGAGGAAGCATGAGGTAAAAATAAAAAAAAAAAAAGAGTAATTTGCCAAATATTGCAAATGCTGCCTGTGTTGAGCGAGCCAAATGGAAATGGGGAAGTACTCAGCAGGGCTGGGAGAAATATCCACTTCCATTAGGTCAGCAGTGGAAGGAAGAAGCCTTGGAGAAAGTTGTGAGAATCAGCATCCTGTTTGTGGTGGGAGGTGCTGGGGGACTCAAAGAGCAAGACAAGGAAACCTCTCAGCCAGGAGGAGTGGGGGGTTTGTAAGCAGCAGAAATTGCCGGGGGTATGGGATGCAGAAAACTCTTTTGGGGTCTCCTGGAGCAGTACACAGGTCTTACCTCATTTGGAGCCCCTGGTGTGGGCTGCCTGCAGCTCCCTGGGGCACAGCAGGGCTCTCTGCCCAGTGGCCAAGGATTTTGTAGCATTTCTCAGGCTTGGAGGTGATCCGTGGATATTTGAGGCACGTGTAGAAACACAGAACCACAGAGTGGTTTGGGTTGGGAGGAACCTTAAAGCTCATCCCATTCCACCCCCTGCTGTGGGCAGGGACACGTTCCACTATCCCAGGTTGCTCCAAGCCCCTTCCAACCTGGCCTTGGACATTTCCACAGAGCAGCCACAGCTTTCCTGGACACCCTGTGCCAGTGAATCAAATACACCTCAAATGCTCTCAGTTTTGCCCTCAGGATTTTATAAGTCTCAAGGGCAGGAAGAGAAGCGGGATGGAGCTTAGGGCAGAAACTCATTTATTTTAAAGCCTGAAGTGAAAACTTTTCAAGAAATTCTTGTTTGAAATGATTTAAGAGAAGGGTTTAGATCTTGATCCCTGTGTGGACATTGAATGGCCAGGTGCTTTGCCTTCTCAAGGTGATATGTCCAGGCTTGCTGGAAGGAAAAGGACAAATGTATGGAATTAATGGCCCCTGTGTGTTTCATCCGTGCACGTGGAGGCCACTCTGCCCAACATGAGCAGCAGCAGGTTCACAGGTTCACCAAAGCACTCTGCCAGCTGTGCTGCCAAAATAAGGACTGGTTTGGCACATCCCCAGATTGGGAGAAATGGGTTTTGGTGGTGTTGAGCACATCATTCAAATTGTGAGGTGCCAAGCCACCAGCACAGTGAGCACGGCCCTACATCAAGTGTGGCTGGACCTGGCAGGGAATGATAAAAGACAACAGAGCTCTGGAAGTCACCTGAAACATTTCCTCCTCCTCTTTGTACACTGGGTCGTGTCTGGCCAGAGAAGTGACAAACTCAGCAGTCCTCAGTGGCTTCCTGGCCATCTGCAGCAGCCTCAGCTCGGTGAGCACAGTGTGCACCACGTCCACAACGTGTCCCTGGGTGAAGCCATCCGACACCTGGGCCAGGCAGTTGAGGTTCACCTGCTGGCTGAGGGCCCCACCAGCCTGCAGGATGTAGTGCTTCCAGAGTGCTGAGCATCAGGACATGGAAAAGAGACAATGTCAAGGCAGGGATTTAAAGGAAAGCAGGAGAAAGAGATTTTATTATTGTTTACTTTGAAACTGAAACAAGAAAATAAGGGCTATCGATTGGGAAAGCAAATATTCCAAATTTTTTTGTGTGTGCTTTACTTGACCTTCAGATTTGCAGCACAGAGGCCTTTAGGCACGTGTGTTTTTAAACCCTTACTGATAATTTTTGGCCACCACTCAGTACTTTTCAGCAAGTCATTAAGGGCACATAAAGTGAGGTGGGCATGAAAGAGCTACTTTTCTACACAGAAGCTGTCCAGCATTCCCATTTGGATGTGCAGAGTTAAGTGCCTTTACCAACAGCCTGTTTTTATTTCTCTGACCCTCCTCACAGTTTATTCCTGCTGAACTGAGGGCTGCTGGGGGGCCTCCATGTCCCAAAGGCTTCCAGCTACGCAGGCATGTGCTGCAAGGTGCAAATTTTCTGTGATTGGGGTTTTGCTTGTTATTTAAATGGTGAACCTGGTCGTATCTTTCAGCTGTGAACTCTGTGCCATGATTGTTTCCTTTGGGGTTGTGAAGCAGCTGAGATTTTGCTTCCAAAAAATAGGAATAATACCAATATTTTGATTTATGTTAAGTAAGGATCTGTTTCAGAGAAATTTAGGAGAATTTTGATGTTGTCTCCTCAGGCTTTGCTTTAAAGGATTGCATAGAAACACTTGGACAAATTGGGAGAATTGTGGATGAGAGGTTAAAAAGTCCCTTGAATGAGACATTTTGAGTGTGGTGTGCTCGGATTTAGCATGAAGATGTTGGGAGAAGGTTGATGCTGCTGGAAAAGCTGCCTTCCTCTTCCTTGGATTGCGATGTCGATACCACGGGCTCCAGCCCATAACTATTGACAGCTCTGCACTGCATTTCTCACTCCAGCAAATTGTGGTCTCCCACTTGAATTGCACTTGTGCTCAATAAATATTGGCTGCATCACTAATTCATAAAAGAGGAATTGATGCACACAAGAGCAAGCACACTCATATATTGTGTGCTGCAGCTCCTGGTGCAGGTGTGTAACACAAGGCACTGCCTTGCCTGGGTGATTAATGGCAAGAAATCAGTATGGGATTGTGAATCTTCCAGTTTAATGATTTCCATTGTATATTTACTGTTCCCACTGAGCACAGATTGGAATACTCTGGTCTGTAAGCAGAGGGAGGGCTGCAGCAGACAGGTAGCTGTGCATTGTGGCTTACAAGTATTTGTTATGTCGTTATTTTTCTGTTAAAACGAGTTTCTTTCCTTCTCAAATGGGTTGGCACAGAAAACTGACAGGATGGGGAGGTGAAGATCCTATTTCCACAGAACTCGAGGGAAGGTTGGAGCTGAAGAACAAGCCAGGCACTGTCTGAATTGGGGCAGGGTCAAAGAATTAAAACTACAAGTTTGTTCTGCTTTAAAATGCCACTTTTTGGACATTCTTAAGTGTGCAGTTGAAATCTCTTGAGCTGGCCATTTTTTTGGACTCCAAGTTAGTGGTGAGAGTCCCAGAATGTGACAGTTCAACCCCCAGAAGTGAGCACAGCTAAATTCAGCTGCTGTCACCTCCTTTCTCTAGGTTTTGCTCATGCCTCCTTATCTCTCAGCAATTCCTCAGAGCTGTAACCTAACATGAAACACATGTTCCCTTGCTTGGTGACCAATTCCCATCCCCACCAGGAAAATTACAGAACGTGGGAGAGATTTACAATGTGCTAGGCAGCCAAACTCTGTCTTGGGCTTGCCCAGATGTGCATCACCTGGGTACCTTGGCTGCCCCTGAGGGATGCAGGATGAAACTGGACTGCACAACGTGTTTGTAAGAGTTTTGTGACAAGGTGACCCTGTGGACAGAGCAAAGGTGTGGCAAGGTCCCTGAGCTGAAAGTGTTTTCTTTTATTGCTCTTTATTGCAGACTTCAGGATGCTTAAAATCTCAAATCATTGGAAGTTTGTTTTATTAGACCAATTTACATGGCTAGGAGAAAAAAAATCCCTGTTTTCCTTACAAGCTTAGAGTCTCAGTACATGGAATATTCAGTGAATTTGTCAGAATTTAGGAGGGTCTGTCTATCACTGTAAACATTTGATAGACCAGGCATGCAAAATCCTGGATGCCTGTACAATTTCTCTTGTGGAGCACAAAAAGTGAAATTTGTGTGAGAGAAAATTTAATCTTCCTGACATGGTTTTGGAGAGGCTGAGAAGTTGTGTTGTTGAGAATATGGAGACTGGAAATTCAGAACTACAAACTCGAACCAGAAATTCAGAATACCTGTGTTAAAAATAAAAATAAAAGCTTAAAATAGAAAATGTGTGTTGAAATAGGATTTTGTGTTTCATACAGGGGGGAAAAACCAGCTCAGGCTGAGCTTGGTGCACACTAAACTCATGGAAAAATGTGAATTGATGGTGAAAAGTATTTTAAACTCTTCTCCCAACTTCCACTTTTATTATTTGGCCTTTGGAGTAGCCTGTATTGATTTAAGCAAAATTTGAAGGATTTGAGATACACCAGGGGCATGGCTTGAGCTGAAGGGCAGTTCTGAGGATAAGCAGCTAACGAGCAGGAATTTTAAACACTGGGATAACGAGAACGACCTGAAATACTTGCCAAATCTTGTCAGGTAGTCAGGCTTCGGAAGGAGAATGATTTTCTGGTAAACTTTGAAGAAAGGTCCCATATTGGCACTGTAGGGCTTGCTGGTGGTCCCCACGAGCAGCACCCTGTGGTTGGGCTTCAGAGCCCTCAGGAACTGGGGCAGGAACTTCGCCAGGCGTTTGGCACTCACCTGCAGCACGTGGGAACACGACAAGGAAAGAGTTGTTAAGGATGCTGACAGCTCAGAGTTAATGAGCTGGAGCTGGACCTGCTGTCTGCAACAGGATTTGGGGTTTTTGTTGGTTTTTTTTTTAGTGGTCTGGTTGTATTTGGTATGAGCAGATGAGGTAGCACAAGTAGGAAGATACTGCTTCCTCAAATTCAGGTAAACACTTAATTTCTGCTTCTGTTTCTGTGCCAGCTCCTTTCACTACTGAATTTACTGGTCTGGTTATTGAAAGGCAGGAAGGAAACAACTAATTCAAAGAAGGAAATCCTTATTTTCAGCTCAAGGAGAAATATTGCAGGGACCTGCACACCTGATGAACCTCACAGGTGGAAAATTGTAACCCAGCTGGGAATCTTCCCAGCTCTTGGAGGTTATGATTTTCTGACTTCTGAGTGTGAAAAATACACTCCCTGTTTATTGCTGTATTTTGTAACTTGCTGAGGCTCTGAGAACAAAGGTTCTGGGAGCTCAAGGTTCATTTCTTTGCAATAATTTACTGCTTGACTTTGTAACACATATTTACAGATGAGTATTGAGCAAAACCTTTTATTGGAGGGTTATATTTGATAATGTTCAAGTGAATATTGGCTGGAGAAGCCTAATCAGGTTGTTGTGGTGTCATTACTGCTAATCAATAAGCTTTCCCACAAGTTTTGGGGTAGTGTAGCACCTTTTTTTTCCCCCTAAATAAGCTTGTCTTAGCACAATACATCTGGTGGATCATTCCTTTTCTTCTCATAGTCATGCAGTGCATTTTTCCAAGTGTGCCAATTGCTTAGTCAAGATAATGAGTTGAGCATGTCTCAGCCCCGGGGCTGAGGGTCCCCTTTGGGGCTGGCCAGGGTGAGCCAGCTCATGGTTTTACTCCTGGTGGCAGAAGTGTCACCTGGGGATGAGCACCATGACTGATACTTACTTTGGCTTCTGAAGGCTGAGCTTAGCTCATCTTTTAGGCTGGGGCTTGGAGTAGCCTGGTCTAGTGGAAGATGTCCCTGCCCCATGGCAGGAGGTGGAACAAGATGACCTTTAAGGCCTCTTTCAACCCAGACCATTCCATGATTCTCCAAAATTCCAGCACTCCTAAGAGACTTCCCCTGACCTCTGTCAGTCCCTCCAGGTTCCTGCTCTCTCCTCTAAACGTTGGATGTGCTGTGAACAGTTTGGGATGTGTGGGATTCCAAGCCTGGAGCCAATAGGCTCCCACCAAGGGACTCTGAAGTGGGCAGGACAAGAAATTTTCCCACAGTGATGGCTAAGCAAGCAAGGATCGTGAGTAATCCAGGCTGGTTTTGGCCCCTAATTGTAATTTTAGTCCCCATCTGCACTTTCTTCCAGGGTTTGAACCCAAGAGAAAAGTTCCTTCTCACTGTGGGGACCACTAAGGGCATCGACCACTGCACACCCATCACCTCACCCAGCCCTGGCAGAAGGAACAGCTCCAGCCAAGGTTGGGCTGCCTTGAGTTGCCTTTCCAAAATACAGTCTTGTCACCCCACAGACACTCTAAAAAAAAAGGTTTAATTTTTCACATAAAGCTCCAAAAGCAAAATATTTTGCAGGCAACAGGAACTGGGGCAAATTGCTCCCTGCTGTGGTGGTGTTGCTGTGACTGTGGGGCAGTCTTTTAATTTTCTTTCCAATGGGGAAGCCACACAGGAGAGGAAGAAATGGAAGCAGTGGCATTAGGACTCCTGGGAGCCCAAAGAAAATAATCTGTAATTGTAACTATTCAACACAGGCTCTTTGTTTTTGCAGTGGAAATTTATCCTTGTTACTTTATTGTTCACTTTGGTTCCATCCAATTTCTCAAATTAATAGAGCTGAACAATTTAAGCTCATCTCAACTTTTAGCTCCTTGCCTCATATTTTGAAATTCTCTATTATTCCCTTTTACTTTCCAGTGCACTGATGAGCAGTGACTGGACTATTTTTAAATAAAGCAAGGATAGGTGGAAGAGAGAAATGTGACCTCTTGGGGGCTCTTAAGAAGTCACAAGACTCTCTTAAAAGCTTAAAAAAAAAAAAGTTAGCGAGACAAGCTATTATCAAGCAAGCTTTGGCAGGTCTGGTCATAGAGGTATGTGCTAAGCTAAGGAATACACTTGTTCCTTTGTGTGGGCTCTAGTGCAACAGGAGAAATTATCTGCACTGAAATAAAGAAGAATTCACCTCTTCTTCTCCCTTCGGTGCCCCTTTGGGAAACATTTTCTCTGTGTCTCCAATCCACACGACTGAAGGCTGCAGTTCCTTGCCCACCTAGGAGAAAATGGGGGAGAAAAGGCAAGGAGTTGATTAAAACAGCTGCAGTTTCATACCTGGGAGCCTGTTGCTGTGCTTTTGAATCCAGATTTCAGCAGCTCAATTAGCCTGGCTTATTTTTTATCCCCAGGAATGTGCAGCAATCATGGATAACATTTGCTCAGCAGCCTTGGCAAATCCAACTCTTTCTAGTCAGGAATTGAGCATCAAGAGCCCACCCCAAGCTGGATCATTTTGTCTGCTATGCTTATCTTTAACTTCTCAGCAGAAATTCAGTTGTGATCTTGCAAAATGAAGCCTGGATTTGGTGTTCAGTGGAAAATTATAGTCCAAGAGCAGCTTTAGGCTGAGGCTGGGATCCCACCCTGGATTTCTGGATGGGGAGACAGGCAAGGCATGTCATGCTGTTGCATGAGAGGGAGGGCACTAATCATTAAGCAAAAGAGTTTGTCAATTTTCTGATTGAAACTCCAGTATTTAATTTGCAGTGAGCCCAAGAATGAAATTTGAAAAGGTGGGGGGGGGCATTGTCCAAAAATGGATTTTCTTGCTCCAAAGTCAGAGGCACCATACCTCTGGTTCACAGCAGGATGGCAGCAATGCTACAGGCTTTTCCCACATCCTGCACTCTTCCCCATTGCTATAGAAACGCCAGAGGTTGAGCTGTTCCAGAGGTTTAGACATTCTGCTGCCAAATTTTAATCACTTTCCAGTGGCTCTCAGAGTTTGCTCAGCAACAAAAGTGATGGCTCGAGTAGTCAGCGGTAACGAGAGAGAGGCACAGCATCCTTCTATCCTGCCTTTTCTTTTCCCCCCTTTATTTCCCCCTAGTTGAAACTGCTGCTTCCAGGAAGGCAGCTTACAAAATCCATGGCCTGTGTACATCACAAGCTCCTGTCTGATTGACAGCCAGGCAGGAAGAATTAAGTTGTGAGCATTGTCGCTCGCAGCACCGCCGTTGATTTTTGCTGTGTTTCAAAGAGTGAGTGTGTCTGTGCAGGAGGGATGGGCTGGGGATGGGGAAGGAGGGCAGGAAATGAGGGATGTGCAGTTTGTTTGCTGTGCTGCTGCTGGGGTGAAGTGGAAGCAATGCCACCTTCAGCGTGTGACACCTTTATGGATGGCAACTGGTCAGTCCTAGAATGTGTCCAGTGATACCTCCAAGTCCAGAACAGTTGGATTGTAAATCCTGGAATGGTTTGGGCTGGAAGGGACCTTAAAGCTCATCCCATTCCACCCCCTGCCATGTGCAGGGACACTTCCCACTGTCCCAGATTGCTCCAAGCCCTGTCCAACCTGGCCTTGGACTCGTCCAGGGATCCAGGGGCAACTACAGCTTCTCTGTGCCAGGGCCTGCCCACCCTCACATATTTCTTCCCAGTATTACATCTAAACCTATTCTCTGTCAGTTTAAACCCCTTCTCCCTCATCCTGTCCTTGCAGGCCTTTGTGAATAGCCTCTCTCCATCTTTCTTGCAGTCCTTTCAGGCACTGGAAGGGGCTCTAAGGCGACTCCAAAACCTTTTCTAGGCTGAACAATCCCAACTGTCTCAGCCTTTCCCTGTAGGAGGGGTGCTCCATCCCTCTAATTAGATTGGTGGCCTCCTCTGGACTCACTCCAACAGATCAGTGTCCTTCCTGAGCTTTTTCCTTTGTTGGTGGCAGGAACTCAAATATTTAGTGTTAATAGTGAAGACTAAAAACAATAAAAACAACATACCAGAAAAGGTATCACGTCCTTGGGGAGCCTGTTCAGTGCCTGAGGCTGCAGTGGGATGTGACAAGGAAATAAGGGTAGGGGGAAGGTTACAGGGGCTACAAAAGCTGTTGGCAAAGGTTGAACACTGCTGGTGTCTTGTCCTTTTGGTGGGGTCACCACAGGCTGGGAGCTGCAGATATTCCTTGTTTGGTTTGGAGATGGTTTCTGTGGTGAGCAGCCCCCTCAAACGCAGCCTGAAGGCTGAAATCAGATTATATCTTCATTTTAACTCTCACAGGAGAGCGCTTACTGTTGTCATACCTTTCATTTTCTTTGCCCCTTTTATTTCCTCACTAAGTGGAAATATCAATATATAACCTCAGTTTTGGCTCTTAAAGGGAGAACTTCCTTCCTAATTTCTGTTTTGAGGCAAAGAGATGAATGTGGAGAATGCCCTGCATGTATTTTTTTCCCAGAAAAGCTGTGGATGTGACATCCCTGGAAGTGTCCAAGGCCAGGTTGGATGGGGCTTGGAGCAGTCTGGGATAATAGAAGGTGTCTCTGCCCATGGCACACTGGATGAGCTTTAAGATCCCTTCCAACCCAAACCATTCCATGATTTTTCAGGTGAAAAAATTACAATTCAATTCAACACACTGTGTTTGGGCAGGTGTTTCTTCTTGTAAATCCACATCAGACACCCAGAATCCATTGGAATCTAATTTAAATTGTTGGCAGATCTGTAGATCTGTATATCCCCCTGTGAAAATGCTCCATCTGAATTATCCATGGACAGTTTGAATCCGTGGATAATTAAATGCACTGTACATAATTAATTTGTAATTGAAATTTTATTAGCTTTGCTGCAATTCCACAATTTGTTGGAGCTGCCAGCAGATGGCCCCTTAACCCTTCTAATACCACACTGAGATTTGCTCTTCGGGAAAATCATTATGGGGGGGAAAAAAAATAAAATAAAAATCCCTCTCATCCTGCTGTCAACAGTCATCAAAGATCAAACAGCACTTTTGAGAGCCTTGGGTTCAGCTTCTCAAACCTGGGAGCCAGAGTTTAGCAGTTAAATTGTTACACTTGAAAATGCAGAAATGTGATTCTTGCCCAGCACATGTTGCACAAGGCTCCTCCAAACTTGAAGGGTTTGATGGAATTTTCTTTTTTTTTTTTAAAGGCCCAAGATTTTTTTGGAAGCTCAAGTTATTGCTGCAAACTGCTTAGTGCTCTGTATTTTATACACCCAGAAATGCTGCACTGAAACCTGGGATTAGACCTTATCAGTGGGAGCAGGTAAATATTCCCGTGCTACAGTGATGATGCCACTGTGTTCTGGTTTGTGAGGCAGAAAATGACTTGCAACAGGATAAATTTAATTTTTAACCTTAGGGTAACACAAGTTCAAGCTGCTTTTTCACAGAAATAACTGCATATTTGAGCACTGTTGATACGTAACACTTCAAGCTTCTAAGAATTCCAGCAGGCTGAGCTGCACCAAGAGCAGAATTGTTTTGGATGCTGGAGGAAAGACTGTTCCCAAATTTTAGCTGTAGTGGGAGAGTCTTGTGTGGCATGGAAATGCTAAACACACAAAGAATTCTGTCAGTGTACCAGGACAAGCTCTTCAACCTGCCAGAAAAATGCTCTGTCTGAAGGGACAATACAGCAGTGGTTATGAAATGAACATGAATCAGTAAGGAAAAAAAATAGATTAATGGCAGACCTCAAAATTCTGTTGCCTCTAAAGGCTGGGGTTGGATCATTTAATCTAAATCAACTCCATCATATCCCTTCTTTTGGGTCTAACACTTTTATAGTCACCTCTGACTTGCTAAAGAGCCTGATAAGAGTCCCCCAGCACTGATGGTGTTGAAATATTTCTGGACAATATTTCTGTGTCTCTGCACAGCACACACCGAGCTGCTGACACAGACACACAGACACACACACACACAGACACAGACACACAGACACAGACACAGACACACAGACACACACAGACACACACACACAGACACAGACACACAGACACAGACACAGACACACAGACACACACAGACACACACACACAGACACAGACACACAGACACAGACACAGACACACAGACACACACAGACACACACACACAGACACAGACACACAGACACAGACACAGACACACAGACACACACAGACACACACACACAGACACAGACACACAGACACAGACACAGACACACAGACACACACAGACACACACACACAGACACAGACACACAGACACAGACACAGACACACAGACACACACAGACACACACACACAGACACAGACACACAGACACAGACACAGACACACAGACACACACAGACACACACACACAGACACAGACACACAGACACAGACACAGACACACAGACACACACAGACACACACACACAGACACAGACACACAGACACAGACACAGACACACAGACACACACAGACACACACACACAGACACAGACACACAGACACAGACACAGACACACAGACACACACAGACACACACACACAGACACAGACACACAGACACAGACACAGACACACAGACACACACAGACACACACACACAGACACAGACACACAGACACAGACACAGACACACAGACACACACAGACACACACACACAGACACAGACACACAGACACAGACACAGACACACAGACACACACAGACACACACACACAGACACAGACACACAGACACAGACACAGACACACAGACACACACAGACACACACACACAGACACAGACACACAGACACAGACACAGACACACAGACACACACAGACACACACACACAGACACAGACACACAGACACAGACACAGACACACAGACACACACAGACACACACACACAGACACAGACACACAGACACAGACACAGACACACAGACACACACAGACACACACACACAGACACAGACACACAGACACAGACACAGACACACAGACACACACAGACACACACACACAGACACAGACACACAGACACAGACACAGACACACAGACACACACAGACACACACACACAGACACAGACACACAGACACAGACACAGACACACAGACACACACAGACACACACACACAGACACAGACACACAGACACAGACACAGACACACAGACACACACAGACACACACACACAGACACAGACACACAGACACAGACACAGACACACAGACACACACAGACACACACACACAGACACAGACACACAGACACAGACACAGACACACAGACACACACAGACACACACAC